TCAGTTTTCCGTAAACCTATTTTACTGTTTTGCTCTGTTGTTTGATTATCTCTTTCCAATTTGATCTCGTGGCTCAGATATTTATAGCTATACACCTGTTCAATTTGCGTGCCTTTAGTTGAGATGTTTTGCGCTAGTACAAGGTTGGTCATATATTGTGTTTTGGAAAAATTAATTTTAAGTCCAACTCGTGTACACAAGCTCTGAAGGTCGTAAAGAAGTTGGCAGGCATGATCTACCTGGTCTGCAATAAGGACTTTGTCGTCTGCAAATTTAAGTGGTTCAGAAACTCTCCATTTATGTTGACTGGAATATTCTCCCAATTATTGTTTCTCATAGCACTCTGCAACAAAGCGGTGAATAGCTTAGGAGACGACGTAAATGCAAGGTGAAAAACAAAACATCAAAGACTAAGTAAGAAATAGAGTAAATTGAAACGATCATATAAGCCGAATGACAATAAATAGAGTAGTAAAGACGGCAAGAGACAGTTACCTAATAGGAAGACGATCAATAAGACGACCACAAAAACGATGTAACGACAACTTACTGGAGGCATATTAAGAGATCCCGTACTATTTCGTCCATTGTTATATTAAAAAGAAGTGGGTTTAACGATCCGTCCATCTGGCTTTTGTTGATCTTAAGAAGGCATATGACTCAATACCTAGTACCAAGCTATGGGAAGCAATGGAAGACATCGAAGTTCCACGAAGATTCATAAACGCGATAAAAGCACTCTACAACAATAACGAAGTAGCTATCAAAACGGGCAATAGAATATGCAGTCCATTTAAAACGACAAAGAGACTACTACAGGGTTGTAACCCTTTTCCATTCCTGAAAAAAATCCTGAAACCATGGAAAGGAAAGTGCGAAGGAATGGGTATACCAGTAAGGAACGAATATCTATATACGCTAAGTTTTGCTGACGACCAAATAGTGATCGCACAAGACGAGGAAGACCTCAGTTTTATGACGAGAAAACTGAGCAGGAATATACAAAGAATGGGATGGAAATAAACCTAAAGAAAACTGAATACCTAACAACGGAGAATACAGAAATAAAACAGCTAAAAATAGACGAAAGTAAACAAATCTAAGGAACAGGCAAATATAAGTATTTAGGTTTTATAATATCAAACAAAGGAACAACGGAGGAAGATTTAAAAAATAGATTAGGACAAACAAGAGACTGCATACGAAAATTGAACCCGGTACTATGGGATAAGAACAGCAGCATGAAAACAAAGAAAAAGATATATAATACCATGACAAGAAGTATCCTTACTTATGGGTGTGAAAATAGGACAATAAATAAGAAAACCAAAAACAAAATAAGAGCAACAGAGATGGAATTCCTAAGGAGAAGCTGCAGAGTAACCAGAAGAGATAGAATAAATAACATGGAGATTAAGAGGAGAATGGGAATGAACTCCGACATAATAGACTACATCGAACTGAAGAGGTTAACCTGGTACGGACATGTCAGAAGAGCAGACGAAAATCGGTGGATAAATAGAATAACAGAGTGGAGCCCGATAGGAAGAAGAAAGAGAGGCAGACTCCAAAGATCTTTCAGAGATGAGGTGGACGAAGCAATGAGAAGAAGAAACCTACAGGAAGGGGACTGGCTAAACAGGAGAAATTGGAGAAAACGGTTGAGTGAAGGAATACAGTGAAAACTGTGGAAATCCCTGTATATATATATATATATATATATATATACAGTGCTAGTCAAAAGTCCGTTCCCCCCCTCGTATCTTATTAACGGTTATTGTTATAATAGTGAAATTTGGAGGGAGGTAATAAACAGACGTAGGCTTCTTAACTAGTCATAACAGGTGACGTAATAGTGACAGATGATGTTACAGCGCCACTGTGACAAATAATTTTAAATGGAACCTTATGGCAAGTGATACCTCCTTTGAAAGGTATTGAAAATACCTATTCAGTCATAATATTTTTGTTTGAGTTTAAGCTCATTTTGATGAATAAATTAAATAAATAGTAAAATTGTAGCTTCTCATGTAATTGATAAATATTTAACAACCAGTTCTTATAGTAAGTGTTCAAAATATGCTCCATCTACTTCCTGACAGTAATGCATCCTATTTCTAAACTCTTGCCGTACTCGTTCAAATGTCTCGGTGGAAATTGCCCTACATTCTTCAACAATTCGTTGTTTCAAAATGTCAATATTGTCAGTTGCTGTAGCGTAAACTTTAGATTTTAAGTATCCCCACAGAAAAAAATCTAATGGTGTGAGGTCCGGTGACCGAGCTGGCCATTCTATCGTACCTCGTCGTCCAATCCATCTACCACGATATTCCTCATCTAGGTAACGTCTTACTACATCATAATGGTGTGCAGGAACACCATCTTGTTGAAACGATATTTCCAATTTGCCGAATTCATCTGGATTATACTCCAGAATTTCAAGTATTAATGGTTCAATTGCATTTTGTAACATCTTCAGATACACTTCACCGGTTAAGTTAGTATTGAGAAAAACAGGCCCAACTATGTGATTTCCCAAAATACCTGCCCAAACATTTATTTTTTTTGGAAATTGAGTATTTGTTTCACGAAAGACTTGAGGATTTGTGTCACTCCAATACCTCACATTGTGTGTGTTAACATTTCCATTGAGAGAAAAAGTACTTTCGTCACTAAAACAAATTGTTTTTATGTAATTGGAATGTTGGTTAATTTTATTGGACATATTTTCACAGAATTCTAGTCTTCGGTCGGGGTCATCATCTGAAAGTTAGTGCAGAATTTTTAATTTGTATGGATGAAATTTGTTTTCAGTCAACACTCGGTGTTACTGTCTTTTGACTAATTCCATAGATAGATGCAACTTGGGCTGTAGAAGAAGTAGGGTTCACTACCATTTCTGATATTATGTAAATTTTTTTGTCATCACTAATTGTTGGTTGACCAGATCGTTTGACATCTTGAACACTACCTGTTTGTTTAAACTTCCAAAGAAGCTTTCTCAAGTAAGATCTCGATATAGGGAGATCGGGGTACATATCATTAAGACGTTCCGCTGCATGGAAATTATTTCCACATTCACCAATTAGTAATACAGCTGCTACTTTATCGGATACAGTACATACCATTCTGCCTTTGAAAAGAAGAATAAACTAAACTAACTAACTAACTAAACTAAATTTAACTAAGAACAACTAACTAAAAACAACTTAACTAAACTTGAATTGACTAAACTAAGTAGAAACAGAAACTAAATATTGGACTATAAACGCTTTTGCAAACTAAAAACAACTAGAGAATTGACAAACGTCAACTTTTTTGACAAATAACCAAAGGCTGACGTAAGAATTTTTATTAATTAAATGCCGAATTAGAATTTTTGTATTTATTTCATTTATTCGCCCAAAGCATCTTAAATCCAAAAAAAAATTAGTATGATTGAATAGGTATATTAAAATAATTGTAGTTTCGCATTTGATCAATAAATATTCTAACGTTCGCCTCTGGTTAATTGTCAAAAAAGTTGACGTTGACGTAAAAACAATTAGATAATTGAAAAACGTCAACTTTTGACAAATAACCAGAGGCGGAGGTTTTATTATTTATAAATTAAATGCGAAACTACAATTTTAGTATTTATTTAATTTTGTATCAAAATGAGTTTAAACTCAAATATAATTATTATGACTGAATAGGTATTTTCAATACCTTTCAAACGAGGTATCACTTGCCATTAAGTCCCATTTAAAATTATCTGTCACAGTGGCATTGTAACGTCATCTGTCACTATTACGTCACCTGTTATGACTAGATGAGAAGCCTACGTCTGTTTATTACTTCCCTCCAAATGTCACTATTATAACAATAACCGTTTAAAAGATACGAAGGGGGGAACGGACTTTTGACTAGCACTGTATATATATATATATATATATATATATATATATATATATATATATATATATATACACTTATATTCACTTTAAACTAGTATACATTGTGTTAATTTTCCATTTATCTTTGCTCGCATTCCATTATGTAAGTAGATATGTTTTAATGGTTTGTATATTATTGATTGGCATGATTCTTTTTTACAATAAGTGTAAGACGTCTTCGACTTATATGCGATCAAAAGCCTTTGTCAGGTTTATAATACATAGATATGCTGGTTTATTGTACTCGATGGCCTTTTCTGTAATTTGTCTTAGTACAAATACGGCTTCTACGCAGGATCTTCTGGATCTGAATCCTTGTTGTTCATCTTATAAAGCTGTTAGTTTATTGATTTTGTTGGTTGGGACTTTCGTAGTAAGCTTAAGTGCGGTGTTCAGTAGATTTTTATACTATGATATAAACAGTCCACATTATTATACTATTTTCTATTTGCATCATGTCAATGAGATAAGCTCTTTTGTGGAAGGAAATTTTCTGCAGTCACCTATTATTATCAACCGGTGTAGTAAATACTGATGCTTATTTAACGAGCAGAATTTTAGTTACCCTATCTTTTATTAATCTTGGTTATAGGTGCTAGGGTTTCATATGTTGATATAGAGTTATACATATCTATCTAAAATAAATTAACAACAAAAATGGTAGAATTACTTAAACTTGTTGTTGAATCCCAAAAACGTCTTTTTTGAGATAGTGTATATTTTAGACCATTTTTTAAATTTTGAAAGAGATTTTTGTTCATTTTTACCTTTTTATACTGTGATATTTCTGTGCACAGAATATCATAACCATATCATACGCAATTTACGTAATTAAAACAATGAAGCACATTTTTTTGTACTTGTCACGACCTGCCGCGAATTTTGCATGTGGCTGATATATATTTTTGTAAGCCATATATAACAGTTTTTGCTTTTTGGATGCAATACACGTTACATAGATATTTTTGGGATAGCGTGTATTATCCTCCACTTTTTCGCATATTGTCTAATGTTTTTTCGATTAGCTCTGGCATAGAAAACAACCCGACAGTGTTTTATCGGCTGATGCCGGGATCCACGGCGCAAACCAACAAATTCCACACATTCTATCTGCAGCAGAGGCCTGATAATGGTTTTACTTGGGCGGACATTAAGGTTAATCATCCTCTGGATTACGAGACCGTTAAGGAGTATAATCTGACGGTTCGTGTTGAGGTAAGTAAATATTTTCCTCTTAACTTTACGTTGTACTTTAAAAGCGGTAAGTATAATAATTAGGTGAAATATGGAACGTGCAATGAAAACCAGACGGTTGAAGCTATTATACCGATATACCTTTATGGACAAAATTAGAGGAATGCAAGGAAAAAACAGACACATTATAGACCAGGCATATTACCTACATTTAAAAAAAAATGTTATCTTAAGTTTTTTAATGAAAAATTGTAGATAAAGGTATAATATACACAATAATTTGATCGAATATCGAAATATTTGTCCTTTTATTCAATCACATTTATGATACAGGTAAAATACACCAGTATTGGCTGGAGTCAATATTCATCCCACTACCAAAAAAGCCTAACCCACAACACTGCAATGAGTTCCGTCTGATAAGCCTTATGAGTCATACAGTAAAAGCCCTCTTAAAAATGGTACATAATCATATCTATAGAAAGTGCGAAACAATCATCGGAGACGATCAGTTTGGATTCAGAGCCGGCATGGGAACGAGAGAAGCCCTGTTCAGTTTACTAGTTCTCGCCCAAAAATGCTACGACCAACAGAAAGATATATTTATATGCTTTATAGACTTCGAAAAAGCATTTGATAGAGTAAGACACGATCCACTATTAGAACGTTTGCAAGAAGTCCGTTTAGATGGAAAAGACATCAAATTCTTAAAAAACTTGTACTGGAACCAAAACGCCAGAGATAGGATCGAAGGTTTTACATCCGCAGAAGTAGAAATTAGGAGGGGAGTTAGACAAGGATGTGTTCTGTCGCCTCTGCTGTTTAATCTTTACTTCGAGTTTCTATTTAAAGAAGCATTGGAGGATTCCAAGGATGAAGTCAATGTAAATATAAACAGTATCAGATACGCCGATGATACGTATTTTCATACCAATTTAGTATGAAAATAAACATTAAAAAAACCAAAGTGTACTTTAATCTTGCACAATAAATGGGCACATTTTATAACAGGTCAATAGATTTAAGTACCTGGGATGTTGGATCGATAGCAGCCTAAATCCTGATCTAGAAATAATATCGAGAATAGAACAGGCCAGAAAATCTTTCGAAAAAATAAAAAAACTGCTTTGTGATTCTCGAATAAAACTAGAAATTCGACTACGTTTATCAAAATGCTACGCCTGGTCGACTCTTCTATATGCAGTTGAAACGTGGACCCTTAAAACATCAACCGTAAATAAATTGGAGGCCTTTGAAATGTGGATCTACCGGAGAATACTCAAAATTTCATGGACATGACATACCTCAAACGAAGAAGTGCTGCATAGAATAGGCAAGGAAAAAGAACTTTTTAACACAGTAAAAGTTAGAAAAACATCATACTTAAACCACATACTGAGAAATAATAAGTACCGATATGCCCAACTTATAGTGAAAGGAAAAATCGAGGGAAAGAGAAGCCTAGGAAGGAAAAGACTATCGTGGCTCAGAAACATCCGACAATGGACAGGGCTAAATTTTGAACAGCTAATAAGAACAGCGGAAGATAGAGAAGAGTTTAAAATTGTAGTAGCCAACCCCCATTGAGGAGAGGGCACTTTTAGAAAAAGATACACAATAAAAATAATTGAAACAGCTGAAAAGATCCGGAGGTGATTTGGAGAGATTAACCCATTAACGCCCAGATTAACTTTTTTTTTATAAATTTTACTGCAATTTTTATTATGTCTCTTTGAGCTAAAGTTAGAAGGAATCATAGTTTTTTGTCAAATTTTAATTAGAAAAAAATACAGACTGATATCATTATGGTATCACAGGGAACTTATGATATCTTCTTCTTCATGTGCCGTGTCTGTTGCCACAAGTTTAGGAGCCAGAGTGTCTTCTCCTCCCTGGACCCCTTCTGCTGTCTATTTTCCCTTGAACGATCAGCTGTAGTACTCTATATTTAATATGTCTCATAACGTGACCTAAGTATTCCAACTTTCTTTTCTTTATACTTAATCCTACCTCCCTCTCTTTACCTATCCGGCGTAGTACCTCTTCGTTGGTCACGTGCTCAGTCCAGGATATACGTAATATACGTCGGTAAGCTCACATTTCGAAGGCCTCTACTTTTTTAATCAAGGTTGCGGTCATTGACCATGCCTCCATTCCATATAACAAAACCGGGAATACATAACATTTCAGAAGTCGAATTTTGAGAGGTAGAGGTAGATGAATAGAGGTTCTAAGGCTTTTAGAGGTGAAAATTTGCTTCATGCTAGTGAACGATGATCTTGCCTTTTCTATTCTTATGCGTATTTCCTTCACTTGATCCCAATTTGAGTTAACTGTTGTTCCCAAGTAGAAGTACGAATCCACGTGTTCAATTTTTTTATTGTCTAATATCAGTTGCTGTGGTGGTTGTTGGGTTTTGCTTGCTAACATTTATTTGGTTTTCTTATTGTGCACTTGTTTTTTGTACCTTACTCATTAGGCAACTCAGTTCCTCCATGCTACTTGCTAGAATCACAGTGTCATCAGCATACCCTATGTTATTAATTATTTCTTTATTTCTCCATTTATCTTTATGCCTTCTGTGCTTTCCTCCAACGCTGTCTTAAATACTTCTTCTGAGTATATATTAAAGAGAACAGGAGACAAGATACAGCCCTGTCGTACCCCTTTATTGATCTCAATTTTATTGATCTATGTAGATCCTACTTTTACTTTAGCTGGTTGACCCCAATAGAGACTCGCTATTTTTCGAATGTCTCTGTAGAGAATGTTCCAAGAGAGACTCGCTATTGTTCGAATTTCTCTGTAGTCGACTCCGATCTTATGGAGAACTGCAATTATATTTTCGTGCTTTACGTTATCGAACGCTTTTGCGTAACTTGTGATATATCCAATTAAAAAAAAAATTTAGAATCATACGAAACAAAACACTGCAAAAGGTTCCGTTTAAAACTTCTTTCTGTCAGCATATGTCGACTTGATGCCATATCGAGTCAAAAAAACCTGAACTATTTCGCGACAAAAATCGAGGTTGGATAAATTTTTGTTATTTTTTTTGTAAATGATCTATACACTGTTTAGTGCGGTATCTACCATTCAAGTAAATATGGGCTAGTACAACTTCTTTGTCCCAACACCTATTCTGTAGTTTGCCACATATTGATCCTGAAGATCAGTTCCGCCCATCTTTTCATTGTACTTAACGTGACGATGTTGCTGGATGGAGTATTTCTTTACTTACGAAGTTCGTAAAACATCTGAAAAAGTTGAAGCAACAGTCACCACTGAATTATCCATCCATCGAACTAATACTATTTAGTTGTCTTTATGTATTATTTTTTTGAGGTACTATTGGATTTTTTAAAAAATAATGCTATCTTTGTCAGTGAATACGTATTACCCAACCGATGATCACGAATTGATCCAATTGCAGAATATCCTAGGCACTTCAGGTAAGCAAACAAATTGTCAACATGAATAGCATAACGCAACTGTCTTTTATCGTCTGGTAAATCTTCCAAAAAATGTACTAAAGGAGCAAAATGTTATCCACAAAAAGATTAATAAGATTTATTTCCACGAGGATTGTTCCTTTGATATAAATCAAAATTGATCAGGTATTCATCATTGGTATTTAATCATAACATTTTGTAATCAAAACATATTAGTTTACCACGAATAAACTGTTTACATCCGTGATGACCAAAATATTTTATTATGGCTTCATGATCATCATCATCATCAGTAGCTTGACGACCCTGTCTGGGTCCTGGCTTGTTCTAGGATTTCCGCCATTCTGCTCCTTTCCTTGCTTTGTTTTTACAGTTGGTTATGTTAAGTGTTTTCAAATCTTGTTTCACTTGTTCCATGTATCAAAGTTTGGGTCTTCCCTTTGACCTTCTCCCTACTAGTGTTTGCCTCATTATATGTTTTGGCGTTTCACTCTCCAACATCTGTCGCAGACGTCCGATCTGTGAACGTTATGACCTCGGGTTCATTGTATGCTGTGTATAGTTCAAAGTTATATATTTTGCACCATCTGTCATTTTCCTTTACCCCCTTATATATGTGTCTAAGGATTTTTCGTTCAAATGTACCCAAAGGTTCTCACCGCTTTTCGACAGTGTCCATGTCTCTACTCCATATAAAAGGACCGGATTTATCAGTATGTAAAACTTTTTACGCTTTCGATGTTATAGTCTCCTATTGTCAGATTCTGTAGGTTTCTTTGGGCTGTCTTTTTACTGGCCTTCATGTATTTGGTTTTTGTTTCGTTAATGTTTAGGCCAGTGTTTTGTGCCCTCTTTCTGTCGCATTAAATGCTTCTATCATTTCGCTTCTAGCTATGATATCAACATCATCTGCAAATGCCAATATTTGTACACTTTTTGTTATTATTGTTCCTCTGGTGTTGACTTTGGACTCCCTAATAATTATTTTCTCTAATGTGATGTTGAATAGATTACAAGGATAGGGCATCTCCCTGTCGTAGGCCCGTTCTCAGATGGATTGTATCTGTTAGTTTGTTTTGAATTAGAATTTTGCTTTGTAGTTTTTTTACTATATAAATGAGTTAAGTTGGAATATTAAACTCTTTCAGTGCATGGATCAGAAATTCTCGATGGATGCTATCATAGGCACTCTCAAAATCAATGAAAAGATGATGTGTGTCTATATTAAATTCACTAGTGTTTTCCAAGATTTGCCTCAAGACAAAGATCTGATCTATTGTGGATTTCTGTTTGCGGAAACCACATTGATATTCCCCAACTATTTGTTCCGCATATGGCCAAACATTGTACTTTTCCGAAGTGAAAATTGAAACGTCAATAAACGTACTTTAATCTTTAATTCCATTAAATCCCATTAATCCCATTAAAATAGTAATTATTTTTTACAGGCACAAAATTATCCAAACACTTTTTCTTTAATTTGTCTCTAAGTGGACGTAATTTCCACATCTTATCTGATTCATTGATCTGTGTATTATTGGAAAAATGAATATATTTTTGAATTTCATCAAATCTATTGCGGCGCCTAGCGTCGGTCACAAGTTTATTACTAAGATGGTCTTTTATATCCCAGTAACGCCTTTTTGATGACACAGTGTTATATCCAGTAAGAATTAATATTAAAAAGAAAGAATTTAAATCTTCTTTTATATTTGGATTAGCTTGATTTTCTTGTTTCCTCGCAAATGAGATTCATTATATCATGATCAAAAAAACATTCAAATAATTCTAAGTTATATATTTTATGCATCGTTTGTGTTAAATTTTTGCAAAATCTTCCAAAACAACGTCTTTTTTGTCGTTTGGAATTTTATCCACTAGGTAGTCCATTCAATCATATCTAATTTTATCAGCTACTCTTTGCGCATTAGAAGATGGACATGGAGTCCTGTAAACAATGCCCAGTACAATTTTCTGCTTCTAATTTGAATCCTGTACTGTCCCAATTCTGATCCATTGGATCACAATCCTGTACTGTCCAAAACTCTCATCCATTCGATCATTACCACCCATTTTTTTGTTATACTCTGCAAAGTACTGCTCGTCTTATCATTCCTGTCATACTTTCATACAAACTGTAGTCAACTAAGAAAAAATTGAATACTTCAACAAGATCTCATTTTACTCGTTAATTTTGTAGATCATTTTTTTGTATTCCTTTTCTTTTTTCTCTACCTCTCTGCAAATTGAATAGTTTTTCTTACTGAATTACGTGTAAACTGTATTAAATCCAATTACTTTCAGACTTCAGAGGTTGCTGGGAAGAACCAGCAATGTTGATTATTGGTTAATTTTAGCTCAGCACCAGCTTGCAATTGACGACCAGTTAAATTATTCATGATGAAGTCATCTAGTTCATCCCCTGAATCTTCATCAATGTCAAGAGATGGGTTAGGTGGCTTAATAAATATTCCTTCTAGTTCATTAGCGATATTTTCATTATCATATATCATATTTAGAGCTTCTGGTAATGCGAATCCACAGTTGTAAAAAAAATTATCATAAATTATAAATGATATGACCTCAGTGAAACTCCCAGTGATACCATATGGTATCACCGACATATTGGGTAAAATATTAGAAAAATCTTAATAAATTTAAAATTCGCAAAAAGAACATAAACATTTGTTTTATTAACCACAGATTTTTTACAAAATATCTTTAAAATTTATTATTAGATAATTAAAATTTACTTAGGCAGAATGCAAACTTAGTTACTCTACAAATGTTACAATCGCACTGAGATAAGCGGTTCGTATGATATACTGGCCTGTTGTTTATTGTTAGGAGTAAAGGGGAGAGGGGACAGATCTTAGACAGACTTACCTCTATTATTTAAATAGATATTAAAATCAAGCAGCCTTACACATGGCGCTCACAAGCTCTGTATGCAGCTATGCTTCGAAAAGAACATTGAGACCATTCTTACTAATACAATCTTAGGATCCTCAGTATCCTAAAAAATAAACAGAAAGATTCATGACAGAAAGAGAGTTTAGCTGAGATAAAGAAATATCAGCTGAGAGAAGAAGAGACATTTCTATCTCTAATAATAAAACTCTACGAATCTATAAGTTGTAGATTTATATTATTTACAATTTTCGAATATGAATTAAAGAAAAAACAGAGCAAATTCGATATGCAGGAGAAAAACCTAACAGAACCTCCTCTAGTGGTCATATATTGATATATACCTGATTATTTTAAACAGTTAGTAAGTATCTATAAGAAAAAATTATCAACAGATATATATTCTTATATATAAAAATCAATTTTATTACTTTAACATGCATAATGTAGATGGAAAAACTAATACATTTGTTTAAATTTTTGTACAGAATAATGGAGCCCAACAACTGGCTTCTGAAGCAACTGTGTATATCCAACTCGAAGACGTAAACGATGAAATTCCGCTGTTCACCGAAAGAGAACAGGAAACGGTACTGGAAGGGGAGCCGATTGGAACCAAAGTTACTCAAGTCAATGCCATCGATAAGGACGGAACTTTTCCCAACAACCAGGTAAATTATGTTTTTTTATTGTTTTAAACATTTAAAGTTATTTTCGTTCATGTTTATTCTTTGGATGATCTCTATATAATTTTTCTACTTTCCTCTGTTTTTTATTACATTTTTGACTTCTCTTCATCTTACAAAGCCCTTATAAGATTGCGTTTTGCAGACCTCGGATAGGCCTTGGACCTCAAGGTTTTGAAATTTCATTAAGAGGCCGAGCTGGATGAGTTTTAATGGTAGAATGAAGAATAGTAGGTCTGGAGTGTCACAGTACGCTAGGCCGTTGTATTCTATTATTATCAACCATATCTATTGACTATCCCTTTGTGTTAATAAGCTTTTCATTTTCTTTATTTGTTATTCTCATTAATTTATTCTTTTGGCTCTTTTTTTTCGTCCTTCCATTTTTTTTTCGGTATTCCATCGAAATGTTTCCATTGATTTTTAAATTTATGATGTCATTTAAAAAAAAAGGAAAATCGCATTTAGTTTTTTTTTATTGGGTATTGTCCCGTGGAAGAATCAGAGAATATAAATTCAAAGAGTGTAGAGATAAAGATTCTTATTATAAACTTAGGAAAACTCAAAGAAGGCTTCACTTAACAGAAAGTCATACTTAGTTAGCGCAATCATTATTTGTAGGGAGAATTAGGGTACCACCATGAGAACTGTCATACCTTTACTTAGTGATTGGCCAGTTCATTTCCACTTTTCTTCAGGATTATATTAGATATCTTAAGTTTAGTTCCAAATTGGTTTAGTATATCGTAAGAATCTTTCCAAGAGTATTTAGGAAACTTTGTAGCTTTTTGTTTTAATTTTATCATGTTCCTGACAAATTTACCAAAGTTACTAAAGTAATAAAATGTGTAACTTTTCTTCAGGTGTACTACTTCATCGTGGATTCTCCGCGTAACGAAGGCAAAGACTTCTTTGAAATCAACAAAGAAACAGGTGAAGTGTTTACCAAAGTTGTGTTCGACAGAGAAAAGCAAGGAGCCTACGCCTTGGAAATTGAAGCTAGAGATGGAGCACCGTCAGCCAGGCCGAACAGCGACAACGAACCCAATTCAGGTGAGTACTTTATACACCTAAAAGTCAAATTTTTATAGTTATACATACAATATTGTAATATATTAATTTTTTCTGGAACATATAACGCATTTAAAAAAAGTACAAAAAATCTGTAGTATATTAATAGTGTATCAGGCGAGGTACTGGATCAATTTGGAAATTATTCCTTCCAGTGCCTTTACGTATAAGGCCGTAAGTGTCCTTCGCTTACTTTGGGTCGCCAGAAAAGTGCTAGGAGTGATTGGCAATAACAAGCCGGTGGCTAGAGAAGACCAACACGTAGTTGATAATGACCAGAGGGTGTTAAAAAATTATATAAAGCTATTGCTTATAAACAGAATGTTATACGAAAGTTGATACGATGACTAATCTGTAGAAACTCTGCTGTTCTTTTTTCTACATCTCAATACGTATTATCTGAGTCTGTCATATTTATAAGGTTTTACTGTTCTTAATGTTGCCCTTGTTTTACGTGAATATTCCTTGCACCGCGATAGGAGTTGATACCCATACCACCCCTCTCAGTGCAATCATTTGCAAACTGCAAATGATTTACATTCGAAGTTAATACATCTATTTTAGATGTATTCTATCAAATTACCAAATCGTAGCTGTTTGCAAGGGGTTTATGGGGTGCAGGTAGGCCACTGATGAGTTTACCAATCTCTCGAAGTCTATTTTAAAATCCCTTTTTTTATGGCGGTGATCGGTTTTTACTATTTACGAGGGTATTTATGCTAATTGGTGATAAGTTTTCGTGTACCTGTATAGTCATGCGGTAAAGAAAAAGACATTAAGATATGAACGATAAGTTCAGAACTAACTTTACACGAAAATTCTCGTTTCTTCTTTAGCCTTCTTTTCACTTTTTTAGCTTTCGGTCATTGTCAACCAAATAAGATAATACTTAATAAAACTCTGTAATGCCCAAGAGTCAAAATAGTATTGGCTTCCATACTTTATTCTAACAAATAACTAAGGAATTACCAATTTAAACAACAGCTTAAGTGCTTGTTATACACATTCAAATATCGAATTCATGATATTCTAACCGAAACAGTTTTCGTATAAAACTATTTTGCGCTCAGCAATAAACAACAAACTAATCTCCAGTATATCCAGCATTCTAATACTCAATTAATCTATTTGCCTTGTAAATTTTGATGCAGATTTAGCACCAAGGTACATACCGGAAATCTAAAGTTATCCACATTACTCTAACCGTAATAGTTGCACCTGCAATTGCGATTTTAAGACAAAATCTTCCCAACTACCAACTTATGTACATAATCAACGATAAACTTTCAAAGCGATTCTGTTTCCGCTACTAAAGCTTTTGCACCTCAAGGTGTAAGTATAATGGTAAGCACGACGAGAAGTGTAAAGACTATCGGGATTAAGACATAGAGCCCTAATAACAGCAGAACACTTTAAAGAGACAGTGGCGGCGCAACCGTTTAACACTATGTTGAATGTCTAATTACACGATTTCGTAATCAAATATACTTTGTAGATATTCACTTGGGAACTTGGCAGACGTAAATTTATTTTATAAATAAAACAGTGAAACTAGCGTTTTTTAAATTAATTTTCTTTATTCCAGAATCTGTTTTTTTATCATTGAAAGTCATTTTGTGTTCTACTATACGTTTTTTAAAGTACTACCAGTTTGATCAATGTAAGTTTGTGGGCAGTTGCCACATTTAAGTTTGTATACTCAACTGTGTAAGTGCTTTTTCTTTAGACTCTTGTTGTTCGTAATATATTTCTTTTTTATGTGTTTGGCTATTTTTGTTGACATTTTAATTTCAGCTGTTTGCAGAACAGTGCTACGCAGTTGCATAGTGTAAGTTTTGATGTTTATTTTTCGTTGGCAGAAAAACAACAGCTCTGACTATCTGATTTGCCCATTTTTTCTGAGATGATATCTTAGAGGGCAGTGATCAGTGAGTAGGCCAATGACAATTTTGATATCTTTCTAACTGATTTCGTGAAGGCGGTTTGTTGCAGTAGGCGACACTTTCTTGAGCTTCTTTATTTTTCTTTGTCCTGGTGTGTTAGATCAATGTAATCTTAGTTGATTAAGTTCTCAGGTTGAGAGTTTTTTTCTGATGTGGCTTTTCGCGAGCCCACAGAAGTACCCTGGAATGTGATATAAGCACATTTTTTTACGAGGCTGTCAGCTTCTTCATTTTATATAATTCGCTTGTGTCCTGTCACCCACATCAAGTTACTGCATTCAAGTTGTTGCATTCTGCCAGCTTCATGAGGGATTTTAACAGTTCCAAATCAACTTTGACTTACAAGTTAAAGCCTTTAAGGCGGCCGAAACATTCTTGAGCACTAATATCTATAACATATATTTGTGTCTAAAATATAGTTGGAGCATTTCCAAAAGATTTGGATAGCCTGAAATTGGGATCAGTAACTACCACTACTGACCTTTCATCTATCTTAGGTCTACCCGTATTCCATACGACTGAACCTTCTTTAAGTTTCGGTACAACTTCTTCGTCCATCTGGTGGTTTTTATGACCACTTCAAAGGGCTTTTCCAAGTCAAATTTGACTGGCATGGCGTATGTCTGCCTGTCGTTAGCATCCAATGAAATTTCTTCCAAGATTTTTATGTGGCCAACTAAATCTTTAACCCCCTCTGTGGCTCAGTGGTAAGAGCGCCTACCTTTAACCCTAAAGGTCATGAGTTCGAATCTCATCTGGGTGGAAAAATTTTCGTTTATTAAAAATTAATGAATGAAAATAATTTCTATCCTTGGCGATCGGTACTCACCAGAGGGACCGCAGAAGTTCGGATACAATTAGCGTCTCTTAGCAAAGACAATGACGTCGACTTTGCTAAGTATCAAGACAATTACTCTACACACACACACTACACTAGTTACCTGACTGTACCATGTCAATGATCATAGTTGTCGAGGCATTAACTCAATAAAAAAAAAACTAGATCTTTAGGTTTTATTGTTTGCAGCTTGGCCCTAACTGTTTTCTGTTATGTTTTTGGTTAGCATAGGAGTGATGCGTATGTGACCATGGGCCTAATAATAGTTTTTGAGTACCAAAGGGTCATTTTCGGTTTTAGACCCCAACTTATTGCTTGACTAACTTGCCACCGAAGCTCTGGTTAAGATATTTTCGATATAACTATTCTAAGTGAGTTCTCTATCTAGAGTTAACCCCAGATATTTATTTCTTTAACTTCCCATTCATAATTGGATCCTGTAAATTGCATTTACGCATCAAATTTATTTTCTGGGGTTAACATTTAGGCCCTCTTTCGAGCACCAACTTTTAATTTCGTTAAGAGCAGTTTGGATGAGACTAGATATAGTCTGGTCATAATTGCATCTAATTATACAACTAGGTTATCTGCGTAACCTTGGGATGTAAAACCAAAATCATGCAACTTAGTAAGGAGGCCATCTACGATCAGAGTTCACAGCAAGGGTAATAGTACTCTTTGATTTTCTTTGCCGTACTAAGTAAGGCCACTTTCTGTGTAAGGGCACCAGCTCCCTGTACATTTTGCCCTAATTAAAGAGTTGTCTGACCTTTTTTTAAAGTTTATCCAACTCTTTGTTCCATCCGGCACCAGAGAATAACCCTGGTAATAATCCTATGTTTCAATGGACAACTTAAAATGTGCATTTATTATGTCATTTTCAGAGAGCTATGGAATAGAGAATGCTTAACATTAAGCTCAGCGATTGCAAGTCCAATAAGGAAATAAGGAGACGAACAAAAGATACAGATGTAATCCAAAATGGATCTGGACAGGATACAGGAAATTAGAAGGCAACTGTTGGACTAAGCGATTTATTGAATGGCGGCCAAGAGCAAACAAGAGAAGTAGAAGCAGACATAAAACCAGATGGACTAATGACCTCAACAGTTGGTCACGAATGGATGCAAAAACAACAAACAAAAATTAATGGACACCCCTAAGGGAGGGCTACATCCGACGATGAATGAAATAGCCGTAGATAATGATGGTGATGGCATTTTAAAGTTGCCATGAGGCTTTATTTAGATTTTCTTTTATTTTGAACGACATATTGAGTTTCCACATTTCTTTCGAGACACTCTTTATAAGTGTTCCAATCGATCTGTTTTGTAGATCCGGTATGCCTCAGGGCCCTCCTAAAACTGCATAAAATCAAAATGATTGTACAAGATTGAACTGACGTTGAAGTGGAAATTTTAATATAGTTACAATATACAGGGTGTTTTATAAAAAAACCAAGGTCGCTAATGGTATCAGAAAAGTTTTTTTCTGTTTGAAACAACCGATTTAATACAGGGAGCAAGAAGAATTTTAGAAATGTTTATATTGAGGACATATTAAGGTTTAAGGACCATTCAGTTCTTATTTTACTCATACACACAACTCCCTCAGTATTTGGTTTCGTTTCTATGGGGACCTCAGCCTTCTGTAGTCTTTCCTTGTCTCATAATTTTTCAAAAAAACACCATAATTTTCTCCTTTTTTACTTAAATTTAACAGAGCCACTTACATCCATTTCATTTTCACAGTTCTTGTCAAGATATACCAATAGTCCATTAAATTAATGAACTTATAACTTATCCTTTTATATTTCTCATGAACCTAGTGTTGCTTTATAACAGATAGGGCCTTTTTTTTTCTTAAGTTGTAAGTTGAGTACTATATGATTAACATATTACAAAACCACGCCACAACCATCAAATTTTGTTCACTTCATATAATTGTTAACACACAAAAAACAACTAAACCACTTCGCCCGTTAACACTTAAATGACTGTATTTAAATACGAGGTCTTATATTAGCTTCAAATATTTGTTATTAAAATTTTTACCTGTCCTAGATGTGATAAACATAAAAGGATAATTTTCATACATATAAGCTAATCTAACATAAAATACACTTTTAGACCATATTCCATACGACAAAAAGTAACATAGGTTGCCTAATACACAGGTCATCCTCTTAAACATGACTTTAACACCATTGGTGATTTCACATCGATTATATCCCAAATTT